TCACCTGTCTTTGCTTCAATTTCACCCTGTAAAACCCTTTCAGGAACTACTTGGATCAGTGAAGTCATAGACATGATCTACAAAGAAGGCAATGTGGAGGCTTGCAGAGAGAAACCCATCTACTTGCGAGTCCCTTTCTTGGAATTTGCTGTTCCTGGAATAGAGTCAGGTAACCCTACATGTTCTCCAATCTGGGCAATAAAAAGTGTTTGGGGTAGGAAAATGCCATTTATGTGAGATGGAAAAACTGCCTGGAGTCACTTTCTTTAAAGGCCATACTGGCTGAGAATGATGAGAATTGTAATCCATAGCATCTGATGGGTGCATGCAGGGTTTGGGAAGGCTGATCTGGGGTGGGGTGCTGTGGAGACAGCAACTTAAAGCTGGATACATTACTCACATTCTTTCACATTTATTCTCCCCCCCCCTTCATCTAGGCATTGAACTGCTAAACGTAGCACCTCGCCCATGTCTAATTAAAACCCATCTTCCTGTCCAATTGCTCCCCAAATCATTTTGGGAAAAGAATTGCAAGGTGAGAGGGTATGGTGGCTAAATCTTGTACACTATCTGTAGAATATATTCTTTTGTTTTGTTTTCAAGATGAGTTTCTAGTCTTTATGAAAGCAGGAGGTGTAGCAGTCGAGTAAAATCTGAAATACCGGTGAGGAGGTCTGAGGCAGATTTCCAGTAGTCAAGGAGAATGTTTTTAGTGTGATTTCCATTGTTTGAAGTAATTGGCTTAATTTACATGCTATTGTCTACATGACAGATGATCTACGTGGCCAGAAATGCCAAAGATGTGGCTGTCTCCTATTACTTCTTCTATCAAATGGCAAAAGTTCACCCTGAACCTGGAACCTGGAATGAATTCCTGGAGAAATTTATGGCTGGAGATAGTAAGGATTGTGTAATGGGAAATGAATCCTAAGAGGGCATTAATCCACTAGACCAGCTTCTCCTATCTTGCTGATCTGAAGTTATGTGGCAACCACAAGATTCATAATCTCCAACCATGGCAGAAGGATTTATTGAGTAAAACTGATGGGTTTTGTCAGACACATCTCAAGGGTACAAAGTTGGTGTAGCTGCTGG